ATAAAACAGAGAAATAAACATGAGATTCTTGTCCAAGACAAAAGGGCCTGTCTGAATCTACCATCTTTGCGACTGTTTTGATTCTTCTCCAGGTCTCTCCATCTCTCTCTCTCTCTCTCTCAAGCGCTGACCTTATAATATCTTGTATTATTGTCTCTTTGATTGTGTTTTAGTGAGGGATCAGGTGTTATTTCCATGGCTGTCTCCCATTGACTTGTGTTTCTTTTTTTACATTTGGCCATATTGTGCTCTCTGCAAAAATTACTGGTTATACTTCGAATTTAAGCTTGTGACGAGTTTAAAGTTGGAGCCTTTATGTATTGTTGCCCATGTCTTTATATATCTTCTGAAAATTCAAAATTCAGTGCAGGGTTTGATTGATCGAAAGTGAAAAATGGATAAATTCGAGGTGGTAGTTTCATTTGATCTTGCTGGTCTTATGAGTTGTAATAGCCCCAGTTAGATTTTTCTACACATCATTGTCTTAGTTTTGTCTTTGTGGATTAATCTTTCCTTGTCGAATAGAATAGGTGAGTACTTCGAAAGCAGTGCTTAGCTGCAGGATTTCTGTATACTGTTTTTGAAGTTTTCATTTCGATCGAGTTTTCCTTCGTTATTGAAGGTCAGTTGAAATTAATAACTCTTTATAACCTAATTATTCTTTAGAGGTGCAAGAATCTGGGCTCCTCAAGTGAGGGTAACCACTTGATTATTATATAGTTCCTAAATGATCAAGTATGTTAGAAAGTGTTCTGAAGTGTAACTAATCATTTTTTTTCAAGTGTTCTGAAGTTTTGCCATACAGTAGTTCATTAGTAGTTCATTATTGCTTCATATGAACCAGGTAAACGTATTTCATAAAAAGAAATCCCTCTCAGATTCTCTGTTTAAGATTAAAGCTCTTGACTTCACTTGGTGCCAAAAAGACTAGGAAAGAAGAACAAAGAAGGAAACGATAATAAAAAAAAATTATAAGATGCAGAGCCTGTCGAGTAATACTAAACACCATGATCATTCCATGGGTCATTCATATGCAAGCTCGTATGGTGGCCACTTATCTCTTTGGTTCCCCGCCAAGCAGCAACAGCTTTCTCGGCCAAACGGTGTTGCCGCTAAGCTCGACTCAAAATCTGAGTACAATCGCCATGCAAAGTATTTATCGGAATCTGGTTATCAAGAAAAGGATCTGTGTTCGCCTATGTCAATTGGACAGTCTAATTTTGAAGCTGCCCCTTGTGTAAAAAACAGCTTTCATGAGCAAAATGTCTTGTTTCAATCAGGTAAATAGTTTAAATGTGGAGCTTGATTATTATGCAGACTTTTTTCTTTTAAATTTATTTATTCACTTTTCTCTTTTCTCGGTTCGTATGTATTTTTTGTTTCTAGTCCCTTTTTCTCTATGACTAGTGATAAACATGGAACCAACGCTAGTTGAGTCCGTTTATTATTTTGGATTCTTCTTAGCACGGCTGATTTCAAGTGGACTCCTTATTGGAGAAAAGCATAGTTTTTATTCAAGGCATGGATTGAGTACACCTTTCATGTTTATATAGTTCATAAAAAAATTTGAGTTGGCGTATGGTGATATTATGTTGATGACTTTCATAATGAGAAGAAAGAATATGTCGATCTATCATATAATGTTTCGCTAATCGAGCTTTCCATTGGAATATGATATGCAGTTGTATTGGATATAATTTTTTTTTGGTCTATTTTTTCGGCTGTAAATAGGTTTCCTCGAAACTTGTAAGAAGAAAGCAGATCTGCCATATGGTGGCACAGATTACCTTGGCCATCAAGTTCAAGTGGAGCATCATAATCAGTCACTGGTTGGTTTACACATTTTCTTTTATTAATTGAAGCGCTCGATCGAAAATCATTTTGCTAAAATTCTAGTAATCCTATTTTCACTCGTAGGATTCTGCATCTTACCCTTTTGGTGAATCGTATTTCGGAAAAATAGCGACTGTGTACGACCCAAATCCTGTTGTAAGTGTCCAACCATTTCCTCTCATCTTTTTTTACGTGGCCAACATAATTCCATATGCAAAATGGTCTTATCGAGTAAGTTAAAGTATTGGTTCTATTGTTTAGCCCATGCTGATAAAAATAGATTTTTCATAATTATTCTCTTTTTTTTCCCTTTGCATTGTAGAAATTGACCATCATATATTGTACTTTCGACTCTTTTAATAAGCGCATACTATGTTGGTTCTAACCAGGTTTATCCTCAAGTGATGGGAATTGCATCCGCAAGAGCTGTGCTTCCTCTCGAATGTACAGAAAGCATGGTTCCAATTTACGTCAATGCAAAACAGTACCACGCCATCCTCAGGCGCCGAAAAATCCGAGCAAGACTCGAGGCTCAGAATAAGATCACGAAATCTAGAAAGGTAATTTAATAAAAGGCTTCGATACCCTGTATTATTGTTTTGTGATAATTACACCAATGTCCTCTCTGGCTTAAGCCTGATGTTTCTAAATCATATATGGATAGACCCACTTGAAGAGTTTGGAAGCCTTTTTCAGGGTCTGTTGTTACACAGTGTACACTACACACACACACACCCCCTCTTTTCTTGTGAAGGCTATTTGAGATTTTGGGAAGTAATGTGTTTCTCTTTGGGCAGCCTGGCAAAGCCTTGTGGTAAAATATGCCTTTGAGTCTTGACTCGATTAAAGAAAATAAGAAACCCACCTACCTTCCAAAAAAAAAATTAAACTAATAATCATCTAAACAAGTGTGATTTTTTATTTCTCCACATAAGTTCCTACTGTTTGCTGCAGCCCTACCTACACGAGTCGCGTCATCTCCACGCTCTCAAGAGAGCCCGTGGCTCCGGCGGCCGTTTCCTCAACACGAAAAGCGAGGAGAAATCGAAACCCCCGGCGCAAGCATCCTGCAAGAAGCCCGGCCATCTCGGTCCCCAGCAGCACTCAGAGAACAACAGCAGCTGGGGGGCCTCCACCCCCTCTGGCTCGTCCGACGTCTCGTGCATCTTCAATAATAGCGACGACATTTTCCCGCCGCCCGACCTGGGAATTTCGATCGACTCTCTGACGGGGCCTGCCGAGAGATACATGCGGATCGGGACCCGTGCCTGATCGATCTCCTCCCGCGTGTTCTCTCTTTCCTGCACGGTTATACATTTCAACCGGCACCTCATCCTTGGCTAAATTTTTTGTACTGCCCGCCGGCAGTAATGGAACTACGTTGTATTG